CCATACTAATCTATCAAAATACCCCAAACAATAAAAATTAAAATAAATACTTGTGAGCCACTAGAAGTATTCTTACACTTAAAATATTTATGTGCTTATATGATAATCATGTGATTATTGTGAATTAATGGGATACTTTCTAATTAATTAATCCAGTGTTTAAATAATTTCTTTATAAAATTAAAATATATTAGATCGCTAGGTACTTATTACACCCTCTCCAGGTGTATGGATGTATATATTAAATGTCAGTACTGTACCGCGCTCCAATATATACAACTCTCAATAATAATACAAATCCAATTTTCTATAATAATGTTATTAAATGACTCCGTGTATCTTCAATATATCAGTAATTAAATATATTAATCCAACCAAAAATTATAATTGATAACACCATTAATTCATATATAAAAAGTGAAAAAGATGAAAAAATATATTGTGCATATAAACCAGAATAAATATATATGGAAATGACAATTCAGTTCATCAGAGATGCGATGGTATTTAAAGTTCAAACTAATCTGTATGATGGATCAGTGTTCACAGCCGTGAACCTCTCCCTCCTTTCTTCTCTCCTCTCTCCCCAACACAGCCTCCTCAATAGAACTTTCTCCACTGGCTGCTTATTCCTCCATGCTCGATACATATAAGGAGAGAAACAGAGACATAGTGTCTTATCCGGGATAAAAGTTATTTATTTAAAGCTATTGGTTTCCCACTCACATGCTCCAAACAAAAGTAGCGCTTTGTGTGCAAATGTATCCAAAAAGTATCCAAATCCTACTATACAACCAGCCTTGCAGGTGTGTCTGCCTTCACTGAATGTGCTTGCCGTTCCTCCGTGGATGCGTGATGACGTCACCGCCCCTCCCCTACGCGTTACGCTACAGGGACTCGTAGCTTCCTCTGGGGGATGTAGTTTATCTAAACTAAACATAAACTACATCCCCCAGAGGAAGCTACGAGTCCCTGTAGCGTAACGCGTAGGGGAGGGGCGGTGACGTCATCACGCATCCACGGAGGAACGGCAAGCACATTCAGTGAAGGCAGACACACCTGCAAAGGCTGGTTGTATAGTAGGATTTGGATACTTTTTGGATACATTTGCACACAAAGCGCTACTTTTGTTTGGAGCATGTGAGTGGGAAACCAATAGCTTTAAATAAATAACTTTTATCCCGGATAAGACACTATGTCTCTGTTTCTCTCCTTATATGTATCGAGCATGGAGGAATAAGCAGCCAGTGGAGAAAAGTTCTATTGAGGAGGCTGTGTTGGGGAGAGAGGAGAGAAGAAAGGAGGGAGAGGTTCACGGCTGTGAACACTGATCCATCATACAGATTAGTTTGAACTTTAAATACCATCGCATCTCTGATGAACTGAATTGTCATTTCCATATATATTTATTCTGGTTTATATGCACAATATATTTTTTCATCTTTTTCACTTTTTATATATGAATTAATGGTGTTATCAATTATAATTTTTGGTTGGATTAATATATTTAATTACTGATATATTGAAGATACACGGAGTCATTTAATAACATTATTATAGAAAATTGGATTTGTATTATTATTGAGAGTTGTATATATTGGAGCGCGGTACAGTACTGACATTTAATATATACCCCAAACAATAGTTCTAATACAAAAAAATTATATGTAAAAATAAAAGTAAATAAGAATAAAAAAATAAGAAAAATAAAAATATATATAAATTAAATAAAAATGAAAATAAATATAACAATAAAAAATAAAGATAAAAATAAAAACAAAAAAAATAATAAAAAGAAAAAAAAAGAAAAAAATAACCCAAATAAAAAACAAAAAATAATTAAAATTGAAAAATTTAAAATAAATAAAACAAAATAAATAAAAATAAAAATAAAAACTAAAAAATTACACAATAAACAACAATCAAGGAATTCATATCTAATAGACACTACCAATTGGACAAGAAACAATTAAGATCGACATCTATATTCAGCCCCTTAGGGGATAAAGTATTCAATTTTAGGATCCATCTTGTCTCATTCTGAAAAATCCACCTCGTCATATATATCCACCACGACCAGCAGTCACAAACTGATATTTTGATAAAAAGGTTTAAGGAAAAAGGATATAAAAGCAAGGAGTTGTTGGATACTAGGGATAGAGAGATGGATATGGATAGGGAGGATCTTTTGAGGGAAAAGGTTAGAGAAAGAGGGAAATTTAATTTGGCATTCATTTTAGGTTCTTCAAAACAGCATAAATTGGTTGAGAATATTTTTAGAGACCGCTGACCAATATTACTGCAAGATGAGGTATTGGGAGGCTTTTACCGAGGCACCCTAAATTAATTTATAGAAGACCACCAACTATTAGGAATAAACTTGTGAAAAATGTCCCAGACCCACCTTCCAAGAAAACTACTTTTTTGGATCAGGTGGGATTTTTCAAATGTGGGAGGTGTATGGCTTGTAAAGTGATGAAGGGTGACAGGAATAGGAACATCTTACAATTTCAGTCACAGGCTAAAGGGGAATTATATAATATTCAGAAATGTGTTTCATGTGATAGACATCATGTAATGTATTTGTTGGAATGTCCCTGTCACCTTCAATACATGGGAAGAACAACTAGAAAATTATCTGTAAGACTGGGGGAGCATATTAGAAACATTAAAAGAGGTTTTAGGCATCACAGTTTGTCCTACCATTTTAGGAAGTGCCACAATAGGGATCCATCTTTGCTCAGGTTCTGTGGGATTGACAAAGTTGAGCCTCATAGGTGTGGTGGCAACATGACTAGGTCGATTTCACAGAATGAGACCAGATGGATCCTAAAATTGAATACTTTATCCCCTAAGGGGTTGAATATAGATGTTGATTAGAGATGAGCGAAGTATTCAAAAATTCGATTCGGCTGATTCGGCGAATTCGAGGAGTAAATTCGATTCGAGTCGAATATATTCGCTGCGAATTTAACTTATAAAAAGGGTGTTTCTAGGCTTCAGAGAGCCTTTATATTAGTGCAGAACACTGTACCTTTAATTTAAATGCCCTTGGAGTCTGCTGGGGAAGAGAAATAATACTGTCAGTCAGTATGACATGCAGATGAGTGCCGTCGATCTTAGAATCACCGCACACTTCACTCATTTGGGCAGTCACGGGGCCAAAACCAGAGTGTGGAGCCACAGTGTGGCGGTGGAGGCAGCAGCAGCAATGGGAGGCCATACAGCACCCTATGACAAAATGGAACCCACCAGCAGTGTGAGGAGGAGACCTGAAAGTGGCACATGGCAGAGTGTGGCGATGGAGACAGCTGCAATGGGAGGCCGTACAGGGACCCATGACACACTCTGGACCTGGCAGCAGCATGAGGAGGCGGTACAGGGGCCCATGACAGACTACGGGCCTGGCAGCAGCATGAGGAGGCGGTACGGGGGCCCATGGCAGATTAGGGGCCTGGCAGCAGCAATGGGAGGCCATACAGCACCCTATGACAAAATGGAACCCACCAGCAGTGTGAGGAGACCTGAAAGTGGCACATGGCAGAGTGTGGCGATGGAGACAGCTGCAATGGGAGGCCGTACAGGGACCCATGACACACTCTGGACCTGGCAGCAGCATGAGGAGGCGGTACAGGGGCCCATGACAGATTACGGGCCTGGCAGCAGCATGAGGAGGCGGTACAGGGGGCCCATGGCAGATTAGGGGCCTGGCAGCAGCAATGGGAGGCCATACAGCACCCTATGACAAAATGGAACCCACCAGCAGTGTGAGGAGACCTGAAAGTGGCACATGGCAGAGTGTGGCGATGGAGACAGCAGCAATGGGAGGCCGTACAGGGACCCATGACACACTCTGGACCTGGCAGCAGCATGAGGAGGCGGTACAGGGGCCCATGACAGATTACGGGCCTGGCAGCAGCATGAGGAGGGGGTACGGGGGCCCATGGCAGATTAGGGGCCTGGCAGCAGCAATGGGAGGCCATACAGCACCCTATGACAAAATGGAACCCACCAGCAGTGTGAGGAGACCTGAAAGTGGCACATGGCAGAGTGTGGCGATGGAGACAGCAGCAATGGGAGGCCGTACAGGGACCCATGACACACTCTGGACCTGGCAGCAGCATGAGGAGGCGGTACAGGGGCCCATGACAGATTACGGGCCTGGCAGCAGCATGAGGAGGCGGTACGGGGGCCCATGGCAGATTAGGGGCCTGGCAGCAGCAATGGGAGGCCATACAGCACCCTATGACAAAAAATGGAACCCACCAGCAGTGTGAGGAGACCTGAAAGTGGCACATGGCAGAGTGTGGCGATGGAGACAGCAGCAATGGGAGGCCGTACAGGGACCCATGACACACTCTGGACCTGGCAGCAGCATGAGGAGGCGGTACAGGGGCCCATGACAGATTACGGGCCTGGCAGCAGCATGAGGAGGCGGTACGGGGGCCCATGGCAGATTAGGGCCTGGCAGCAGCAATGGGAGGGCCATACAGCACCCTATGACAAAATGGAACCCACCAGCAGTGTGAGGAGACCTGAAAGTGGCACATGGCAGAGTGTGGCGATGGAGACAGCAGCAATGGGAGGCCGTACAGGGACCCATGACACACTCTGGACCTGGCAGCAGCAGCATGAGGAGGCGGTACAGGGGCCCATGACAGATTAAGGGCCTGGCAGCAGCATGAAGAGGCGGTACGGGGGGGCCCATGGCAGATTAGGGGCCTGGCAGCAGCAATGGGAGGCCATACAGCACCCTATGACAAAATGGAACCCACCAGCAGTGTGAGGAGACCTGAAAGTGGCACATGGCAGAGTGTGGCGATGGAGACACAGCTGCAATGGGAGGCCGTACAGGGACCCATGACACACTCTGGACCTGGCAGCAGCGTGAGGAGGCGGTACAGGGGCCCATGACAGATTACGGGCCTGGCAGCAGCATGAGGAGGCGGTACGGGGGCCCATGGCAGATTAGGGGCCTGGCAGCAGCAATGGGAGGCCATACAGCACCCTATGACAAAATGGAACCCACCAGCAGTGTGAGGAGACCTGAAAGTGGCACATGGCAGAGTGTGGCGATGGAGACAGCTGCAATGGGAGGCCGTACAGGGACCCATGACACACTCTGGACCTGGCAGCAGCATGAGGAGGTGGTACAGGGGCCCATGACAGATTACGGGCCTGGCAGCAGCATGAGGAGGCGGTACAGGGGCCCATGGCAGATTAGGGGCCTGGCAGCAGCAATGGGAGGCCATACAGCACCCTATGACAAAATGGAACCCACCCAGCAGTGTGAGGAGACCTGAAAGTGGCACATGGCAGAGTGTGGCGATGGAGACAGCAGCAATGGGAGGCCGTACAGGGACCCATGACACACTCTGGACCTGGCAGCAGCATGAGGAGGCGGTACAGGGGCCCATGACAGATTACGGGCCTGGCAGCAGCATGAGGAGGCGGGTACGGGGCCCCATGGCAGATTAGGGGCCTGGCAGCAGCAATGGGAGGCCCGTAATCTGCAGCACCCTATGACAAAATGGAACCCACCAGCAGTGTGAGGAGACCTGAAAGTGGCACATGGCAGAGTGTGGCGATGGAGACAGCTGCAATGGGAGGCCGTACAGGGACCCATGACACACTCTGGACCTGGCAGCAGCATGAGGAGGCGGTACAGGGGCCCATGGCAGATTACGGGCCTGGCAGCAGCAATGGGAGGCCCATAATCTGCCAGCACCCTATGACAAAATGGAACCCACCAGCAGTGTGAGGAGACCTGAAAGTGGCAACATGGCAGAGTGTGGCTATGGAGACAGCAGCAATGGGAGGCCGTACAGGGACCCATGACACACTCTGGACCTGGCAGCAGCATGAGGAGGCTGGCGGTACAGGGGGCCCATGACAGATTACGGGCCTGGCAGCAGCATGAGGAGTCGGTACGGGGGCCCATGGCAGATTACGGGCCTGGCAGCAGCAATGGGAGGCCCGTAATCTGCAGCACCCTATGACAAAATGGAACCCACCAGCAGTGTGAGGAGACCTGAAAGTGGCACATGGCAGAGTCTGGCGATGGAGACAGCAGCAATGGGAGGCCGTACAGGGACCCATGACACACTCTGGACCTGGCAGCAGCATGAGGAGGCGGTACAGGGGCCCATGGCAGATTACGGGCCTGGCAGCAGCAATGGGAGGCCGTAATCTGCCAGCACCCTATGACAAAATGGAACCCACCAGCAGTGTGAGGAGACCTGAAAGTGGCACATGGCAGAGTGTGGCGATGGAGACAGCTGCAATGGGAGGCCGTACAGGGACCCATGACAACTCTGGACCTGGCAGCAGCATGAGGAGGCGGTACAGGGGCACATGGCAGATTACGGGCCTGGCAGCAGCAATGGGAGGCCCATAATCTGCCAGCACCCTATGACAAAATGGAACCCACCAGCAGTGTGAGGAGACCTGAAAGTGCACATGGCAGAGTGTGGCGATGGAGACAGCTGCAATGGGAGGCCGTACAGGGACCCATGACACACTCTGGACCTGGCAGCAGCATGAGGAGGCGGTACAGGGGCCCATGACAGATTACGGGCCTGGCAGCAGCATGAGGAGTCGGAACGGGGGCCCATGGCAGATTACGGGCCTGGCAGCAGCAATGGGAGGCCCGTAATCTGCCAGCACCCTATGACAAAATGGAACCCACCAGCAGTGTGAGGAGACCTGAAAGTGGCACATGGCAGAGTGTGGCGATGGAGACAGCAGCAATGGGAGGCCGTACAGGGACCCATGACACACTCTGGACCTGGCAGCAGCATGAGGAGGCGGTACAGGGGCCCATGGCAGATTAGGGGCCTGGCAGCAGCAATGGGAGGCCCGTAATCTGCCAGCACCCTATGACAAAATGAAACCCAGCAGCAGTGTGAGGAGACCTGAAAGTGGCACATGGCAGGGCATGATTCATGGCGGATTTAGTCAGTTGTGTCAGGAACTGGTGGTTTGAAATCCAGACTAATCCACGCCTGATTCATTTTCACAAACGTGAGTCTCTCCACACTTTGGGTGGACAGTCGTGTCCTCCGCGGAGTTACAATACCTCCTGCCGCACTAAACACGCGCTCCTCCGATGCCACGCTACTGGCTGGGCATGACAGCCTTTCAAGGGCAAATTCAGCTAGTTGGGGCCAAAGGTCAAGTTTCGTTGCCCAGTAGTCAAGGGGATTGTCTACCTCGGTTGGCAGGGTGCTGTCCAAGTAGGCCCAAGCCTGTTGTTTGAGGTCCTGCTCCAGGTCCACCTGATGCTGCTGCTGCTGCGGCGGCTGGTTAGTAGTTTCCTCACTGCGCTGGTGAAGAAAGCTACTCATCATCGACTGCAGACTGAGGCAGCCGCTGCTGGTGGAGCTGCCACTGCTCCTACCACCCCACCCCTCCCCTGCTGCCATGGCAGCGAACGCGAGCGCACAGGGCCCACAGTGTCTGAGGATGGACGTTGGCGCAGAAAGGCAGAGACCAACTGACTACATAGGTGGTTTTTATAGTACGTTATTTTGGCCTCCCTCTCAGCAGGTGTGAAAAAGGCCACCATTTTTTTGAACGGTAGCGAGGGTCCAACAAGGTGGACAGCCAAAAGTCATCCCTCTGTCTGATGGTTATTATTCGGCTGTCGCTACGCAAGCAACCGAGCATGCTATGGGCCATTTGTGCCAAGGAATGCGAGGGACTCCCTGCCTCCATCTCCACAGCATACTGCCACGGTGCGTCTGGGTCCTCTGTCTCCCTCCTCCTCCTCTACCAGATGCTCCTGCTCCTCCACTCCTGTCCGCTGAGTGGAAAAACCACCCATTTCACTCAATAATTCCTGAGCACCAATGTCCTCCTCTACCTCCTCCTCCTCTTCTTCCTGTCCTGCCCCCACAGGGTCATGTGGCGTTGAGATCTGTGCGCCACGTCTACCGCACCCTGACCAGCCATTGTTAACAGCATTTGTTCCAGGACGTGCAACAGAGGAATGACGTCGTTCATCCCATAGTCCTGCCGACTCACGAATAGCGTGGCCTCCTCAAAGGGCCTGAGCAAGCGGCAGGTGTCACGCATGAGCTGCCAATGGCTGACATCGAAGTTACACAGGGGAGTACCTTTATCCGCTTGTAACATCAGGAAATCGGTGATGGCCTTTCGCTGTTCGTAAAGGCGGTCTAACATATGTAGGGTTGAATTCCACCTTGTTGCAACGTCGCAGATCAGGCGATGCTGTGGAATTCCGTTCTGCCGCTGCAGCTCAAGGAGGGTGTGCTTTGCGGTGTAGGAATGGCTGAAATGCATGCAAAGTTTACGTGACATTTTAAGGATGTCTTGCAGTGGGATGGTGGATTTTAGGAACCGCTTGACAACCAGATTGAACACGTGAGCCATGCATGGCGCATGGCACAACCTTCCTTGACGCAGAGCAGACACCATGTTCTTTCCGTTGTCGGTCAACATGGTTCCGATTTTCAGTTTGCGCGGAGACAGCCATCTGTCGATTTCTCTGTTCATTACACTCAGAAGTTCCTCCCCTGTGTGACTACGTTCGCCAAGGCATACCAGGTGCAGCACAGCGTGACACCGTTGCGCCCTGCACATGTGATATGCCGGTCGGGTAATGGGACTTGGCACGGGGGTGGCAGCTGAGGACACGGCGGAAGAAGAGGTGGTAGAGGCGGACATCTTTGCTGGACCAAGGACGTGCAAACGTGGAGGCAAAAGCGGCGTGACCTGTCCAAGTTGCTGGTGCGGCTGTGCCGGCACCACGTTCACCCAGTGGGCCGTAAATGACATGTACTGTCCCTGACCGTAGTTACAGCTCCACACGTCGGCGCTGCCGTGCACTTTGGCAGAGACCGACATGCTCAAAGACTGGCCCACCATCTCTTCTACATGTGAATGCAGGGCTGGCACTGCCTTTTTGGCGAAGAAATGCCGGCTTGGCACTCTCCACCGCGGCGCGGCACAAGCCATCATTTCTCGGAAAGGTGCTGAGTCCACCACTTGGAAAGGGAGGGACTGCAGCACCAGCAACTTGGACAGGAGGACGTTCAGCTTCTGCACCGTCGGGTGCGTGCTCGCAAAACTGTTGTCTCTTGGAAACGGATTCCAAGAAAGACTGCTGACGGAATCCGTGAAGAGGAGTAGCAGGAGAAGGAGCATCTGAACGAGCGGAAGATGCCAACGAGCGACAACTCCCCTCAGCAGAGGTGTTGGAGCCTTGACTGGCTGATAGAGGGCGATTGACGTCGGGTGACGGAGCAAGTAACGGAGCGGGTGATGGAGCGGGGGGGCTGGGGCAGGCAGAAAACCGCCGTATCTTTATCACGGTTTTCCCAGGCCACCGAATGGCGACGCTGCATATGCTGACGCAACGCTGTAGTCCCAACATGGGCCCCCTGGCCACGCTTGACTTTCTGGCCACATAGTCGACATACGGCTACGTTTACTTCCTCGGGCGGCTTGACGAAAAAAATTGCCACACCGCCGAGTAGTAGGAAACTTTGCCCCCGCTACTCCTCACTGGCTGACTGCTACTTCCTCCGTGCACACCGGCACCACTACTGGCCGTGGTGGTAGGCTGCAGTGGAGCTGGTGCTCTACTCCGTGGCCGTTTGCCTCCACTGACACTGCTGCGACCCTGCTGCCTCCTGGGCAACCCACCGACTGTTTTGCTCGCTGCCAAGCTGGCACCCTCTTCTCCTGATGATGCGGAAGCAATAGCCTGATGACGACGAGGCTGCCAAGTGCGATCAGCCTCATCATCATCAATTAGGGTCTCCGCCTCACTACTAGCCCCCTCGGCTGCGTGTGGGTCAGGAGACAGACCTGTCTCTAGACCGGCTACCGAGCCACTCTCCTCGCCAGTACTTCTTCGCCTGGCTGCTGAAGAGGCGGATGTCTCCCCCCGTTCCTGACCGCCCTCTGTTAGCTCTTCCTCACTGTACAGTGGGGCTGAGCCCACAGCATGCGATACTTCGCTTGGTGAGGGAACACCAAAGGACAGGGGCAGGTAGAGGACACGTGATTTCAGTGGGCTTGCTCCCGGGCCATGCCAACTAACGGTTGTGTCTGACGTACCCACCGACCGTTGGCTGTAGGTGTCAGAGGTGACCTGGGAAGAGGAAGACGACCGAGCCAACCAATCGATGACGGCAGGGTTGTCGGTGGAGACACGACCGCTGGATGACACCGGGAGCACTGGCCTCTGGCTGCGACTAGTGCTGCCTCGACCCCTTCCTCTGCTGCCACGTCTGCTCGCTCCTAAAACATTGCCTCCTCTGCCACTCCTCTGCGTGTTGTCTGACATACTCTTTAATTCTATAAGACCCCAAAAATTCTAACGATTCTGTGTCCCTCAGTAACAATTCTGTGTCCCTGAGTAACAATTCTGTGTCCCTGAGTAACAATTCTGTGTCCCTGTAGTTCTGTGTCCAATGAGTAACAATTCTGTGTCCCTGAGTAACAATTCTGTGTCCCTCAGTAACAATTCTGTGTCCCTCCCCTGAGTAACAATTCTGTGTCTGTGTCCTCAGTAACAATTCTGTGTCCCTGAGTAACAATTCTGAGTAAGTAACAATTCTGTGTCCCTGAGTAACAATTCTGTGTCCCTGAGTAACAATTCTGTGTCCCTCAGTAACAATTCTGTGTCCCTGAGTAACAATTCTGTG